TTTTTATTGAATATATAATTTGAGTTTTGGTACTCTGAAAAATGACTAATGATTTCTGCAAAATTAAGTTGAAAGCCATGAACTGGTATGCAAAATAATATTTATAACAACATGCCAAGCGCCACTATTCCCGTTTGGCTGAGCGCTTACTAGAGGTCGCTAGTTTAATAACAGAATACACACGGGCACTATATATTATATTAGTCGCTAAGATAGCTAATGTGTCAGAAAAACGACACTTAAAACTTTAGTCACAAACAGAAAAACAACATTAAGTAAAGTTGTGTTGTTTTATTGTCATCTTCTGTTTGATCAAAATTGCTTTCCATGAAGGGTGATCCAATTCATAAGTTTCCAAGTAAATATCGTTCTAATCGTTACTTTTTGTAAAGGACAATGGGAAGACACGTCCCCGCGTCTTAACAGACTTAAAACAAGTATCATTCGAGCCGTATAGTTAGATAGATAAAATTTCTTACTTTGGCGACATACTTGAAATAAATCGATACCTGTAATTTCAATTGACGTAAAGCAATTTTTTACCAAAATGAGCTATAAATGCGACCTTACTGCGTTTTTTTCCTCTTTTCTTCTGTCTAATTCTCATGGCAATGCGGCCTTTCATTAGACACATTGAAAATGTAACGTAAAGAACGCCATCATTTTATTTTGTTTATAAAAGTCCAACTATCTATCTATACATATAATAAAATGGTAGGAAAGTCAAAACTGATGAGATCTACAATCGAAACCGAAGCCAAAAATATAGTTTTTAGAATTTTTGTCTGTTTGTCTGTATGTATGTTATGAGCAGTGAACCTTTATTTCTAACTAACTCCACGCGTACGAAGTTGCGGGCGGCCGCTAGTTTACTATAAATAAAGGCAAATGAGATTTAAGTCAAAGTTTTTAATCACTGTAAACATAATAGGGCGTAAAGCACACTTCTAAGTAGGTATTGTGTGTTACCTGTTTAAGTGTTAATGTCAATACAATCGCCACCTAACGTATACCCGAGACGAATAACATTATTTTGTTCCTTAGGTACCAACATTGACTTTGTTCTCTATTCTATTAATAAAATCACAAAAAATATATTATAAACTCTATTTCAATTAATAACATTTTTAAAATTCCGACAATCTTTGAATGTCGGTACAGCAACATCAAACAAAAGTATATACTGTTGGAGCGCTGGGTGCAAGCAGGCAGCTCTACTATACTGACCCCCCAAAGGTCCTATATTGTATCAAAAAGTTAAAAAAAGATGTAAGCCGGGTCTCCTGCGTCATGTTTTCGTGTTTGCTAACATGATAACATTGTTTGCTAACCGATTAGTGGTGTGGCCTTACAGTTTTGCTAACGGCGATTGGATACAACTTGATTTGGTAAGATGTTTTGTTAAAAAATTAGCGCAGGAGGCTTTACGTCTATAGTTTTATAATACTTTATGAATGCACTTTTTACACAAATTTAATTATGTATTTAAAAAAATATTTTACTAATATTTTTATTAAAAATGTCATAAACAGTTGGGATAGGAAATTAAATTGCGATTTGTTTTCTTTAAACATTCTTTTCATCTGGTAAGCATGCACAACTTTTTACTGAAAGTACTCTTTTATTTCAGACTCTTATGCCAAAAATACATCGTTTAAAAAACTTCTGTTGTTTGCCTAAAAGACATTGACGGCTCCTCAGTTCCCTACTGAGCAATTTAGGTATTTGAACATAAGGAACCTTATAATTGAAAAGTCAGGTTTTGTGCTTTACGTCAATTGAAATTACAAGTATCGAGTTTAGGTTTTATAAATGCTCGGAGTGCCCTGCAGTTTCACCCACATTAATTTGTGATAATATGTTATAGTGGGTCTTCCTTAAAAGATAGATATAGACTATTGCAGACTTTTTTATAGAACATTTAAAGGAGAACAATTCAGTCATACATGTTTTTTATATTACTTTTACTGTTTACGCAACGCAAGCAACGGAAACCATCGAATGGAATACTTTTTCCCCTTCTTGCAACATTTTTCATTTGTGCTCCTCTCTTTTCTGTTGTATCTTTATGTTATATAGCTTATAACCTTACTAGATAAATGCACTATCCAATACAAAAATAAATATTAAAATCGGACCAGTAGTTCCTGAGATAAGCGCGTTTAGCCAAACAGATTTCCTTAGCTATACTTGTAAATAACGTTAGGTACCCTCGTGAAAACAACTTGACTACTTTCAGTCACTTTTAAATAAATAAGCAAACCAAAACCAGTTGCCAGAAAAACGTTTACCGTCTGTTTTGTGATGGTCCCGCTGCTGGATGTGTCTGCCACAATATGTAAGTTTCAGCGTCAATAAAGTTTTGTATACGTACATATCGTGATCGTCGTAGTTCTCGTCATCCATGCTACTCTAAATAACATAGTTTTTATCCTTATAGAGTACAATACGACAAGACAAAATTGACTCATGTATATCTAGAAATTCTGAAACTGCAGAGGGCTGTGTTTCTGTTACTGGGGAGAACTTGTAAAAATAGGGGAAACAGAGTCCCAAGTAGAGATGTGTCGGTATTTGTCACCTAACGGGTGTCAGTCTACAGTATGAATGACATACTGAAATACAAATACTGTTACCCTATTTCGCCTAATCCAAGCTCTGATAACCTTACTAACTGCAGGAACACAATATTTCAGAATAGTGCTATTTGGCTGTCTTCCTTAACGGGCGCTCTGATAGGGATAAACAAAATTCTATTGGCGGACTTAAATAGATTATCAAAGCATAATAGACACATATTTTTTTCTTTTATCAATTAACAAAAAAATATTCACGAAGATAAACCGCCTCAAAGTTTGGGAGTGCTCGTGGCATCATTTCTAAGTAAAAATTGTACCAAGACGTGACGACATGTCACATTTCAAGTCAATGTATCTCTGTAATGTTTTGCTTATGTCAATAAAGAAAAATATGCGTCCAATACTTTTTGATAATCTATGTGATAGATGAAGAAAAAAAGTTAGTAATCATCCCTATGCTGGTGTAAAATCCAATCGTTATTTTCATCGACAAGCTTAAACTATTTGCGTCGTAAAGTGAGCATAAGTATTTCTCTTATTGTTCCAGTGTTATTACTCTATTAGATATGATTTAAAACGAATGTTATTTAACATCACGTTACCTTTTCGATTAGGTACCATATAATGGAAGTTTTTTTTGCAAAACATCGAGTCTATAATGGTCAAACTACTTTCAGGAAAGATAAAAATTTGAGAATTTTTCTATTTTTTTTACTGTTTTAAGGGTCAATTTCACCATCAACAATAACATTTGGTCGTTAGCCCGAATACGAGTGCCAATGGAATTAGGATAAACGACTAAGTGTATATGAACGGAGTCGATTACGCCCGTATTCGGGTAGTTTTCGTTTTGGTTAGGTACCCGTATTCCAGCGTTAATTTTGATTCGGTAGAATTCGAGTATTGTCTTTCGTGCACCCGAATATGGGCTAACGACTAAATGTAGTTAAGCTTTTATTTTATTTAGATTTTAAAAATTCATAAAAAGTTACAGTTAAATAAACTAATAGATATAAGCGGTGAAGGAGGCACATATTTTAGAATTTGTTAATAAAAATGCAACATGTCCACTCGGAAAAAATATATTCAATTTTTATAAAATCAGTTTCAGGCATTTTGAATCCGCACAATTTTGTACAATATAATTTATACATCGTAGGAATACTTTTACAATTAAAATTGTTAAGCCAACATATTAGCACAGGTTTGCTTTAGTTATATTAAAATATAAATATTGTTATAAACAAACATGTATTTTATTAATAATCGTATATTTACAACATACAGACTTCATATTGTATAATTTCAGGAAAAAGTGACACAGTTTGCAATTTAGTTTTTTTTTCTAATAAAAGGAGCAGCTATAAAACTTTTACAAATATTGTCATTTAATATCAAAGAAATGCAAACAAATAATTAAAAAAAATCACATTAGATTTTACTAACTTGCACATACCATGTACCATGTTTAAAATTGATTCTATCTCTTGGCTTTAAACAATTTGACAAAGACGAAATGATGTGTTAAACAGGATTGTGTATCACTTAGGTAGTCTAAAAAGTTTGTTCAGAAAAGGCGATTACGCGCGTTTCCAAACGCGTTTGTATGACGATTGATCCTTGTTAATAGTAAACTGTTCTTACTTAGCCTAATAATTGCGCAATTAAATACGAGTCCTTCGAATCTGAACCGGCACTAATTGATATTTTTAATCTTAAGTAGTTGAATCAACTTACAGTTTAATTTCATATGGTATCGGAAAGTAGAAGTGCAAAATTTACATTTCGTAAGGTAAACTATTTAATTTCATGCACTGAAATCATATTTTAATAATTTATAGCCTTTAATTATATATTATTAAATAAGTAAACAATAAAAACACCATCAACATATTTCAGTACAGTTTAGTTTTAGTTCAGTGGTTAGAAGTCTGTATGTATATAAAAATGTTTAAGGTCTGTAACACATGTATAGAAATATCTGTCTGAAACGCAGTTTAGACTTAGATGTGATAATACAAAAGCTTTCTTAAATTTTAAAAATATTTTTGTATAAGGCTTATAGTTACCTAAACAGTAAGGTAAGTACAATAAATAAATTGCAACTTTTCCGTGACCTGTCGAGGTAAATTCAATAAATTATAAACTGCAATTTTGGACTAAAACAGCGATTCTACTTAACCTAAATACCGTACAATTTCTAGCTATAATGAGATAGTTATATTTATCGAACATATATATACTGTACAACACTTTAAAGTCACATAATGCTTGCTAGCTGCATCGCATTGTCTTTTGTTAGTAGTCCGAGTCACTATACACAATGTTTTGATATGTGTTATATACAGCGTGCGCGGGCGCAGCGAGGTATCACAGGAGCGGTGTGGAGTGGTGCGGCACGGGCAGCGCCGCGCGCCCCCGTCACACCAGTGCACTAGGCTTCACGTCTAGAGAATGCTCCGGTGACCGGCCGCCCGCTCCTCCCTCTCCTTGACTATTCTCCTCAGAATCCGAACAAGAATCTGAACTACCTTTCTTGCCACCGTTATGTGTCTTCACATGCTTCGCGAGATGGTCCGACCGCATAAATCTCTTATTGCATACCGGACACGCAAACCTCTTCTCCCCGGTGTGGGTACGCAAGTGTCGTTGCAGCTCATCGGAGCGTGTAAACCGTTTTCCACAGAATAACCAATTGCACACGAACGGTCGCTCGCCAGTGTGCCAACGCAAGTGAGCTTTTAAATGGGAAGTCTTGCCGTAAACCTTGCCACAGCCCGGTATGTGACAGCTGTGTATGTTCTTTTTTCTTAAATGGGCACCCGCCGGTCCTAATCTTTCTGCTTCTTGACAGTTAGGGCAATCACAAGTCGCTCGACCAGCATAACGTCGCTGCGATCGAGGTGAGGGTGCCTGCGCGGGCGGTGCTGGTGAGCCTGGTCCATGTAGTCCGAAAGATCCTTGAGTCGGTAAAACAGATTTATATGCATCTTGCAAAAGGTGGGGAGCCGGTGGCAGTAAATGTGCTCCACCAGAAAGCGAATGCGTAAGTTGGGAGTAATCTTGGCCAGCATAGTTGGCCATTTGTCCACCGACGTCCAGCCATCCGCTGTGCACATCCCACCAAGTGCTACCGACAGCACTGACACCACTCATTTCGGCGGCTTTCAGAGCTCCACTGCCACCTCCTCCACCGACATTAAAAGGCCATGATTCATAAGGATGTCGCGAGTACATAGACCCGAGACTAGCACTGGATTCACTTTTGCCGAGTAACTGGTCTCCAGACGGGGGGAAATAGAGATCATTGCCGTATGAGGGCGCAGCCGCGCAGGATGTAGGGGCACGTCCGTAAGGTGCACAGGATGGTGGCTGCGAGCGAGGGGTTGCGCTACTCACAGGAGGTGAGTGCGCCCCCGGACTCTTCTTCCAAGGGTGGAATCCCTTCCCGACTGCTGCATCCGCCAGTGGCGGCGGTGACTTGCTCGATAACTTGTTACATTGTGCCGCCAGCATCGCCAGAGGCGTGCCGCGTAAGCTCGGATGTTCCTGGAAAGACGGACAACGAACTGTTAATTATTTCGAATGAAAAAAGTAAATTTACTATACTGGTTTAATTAACCAAGTATGTTTAGACCGTGTGAATTGGTCTGAATGTCTACTCAAATTTATTGCCTAATTTATATGGGAACTAATGCTGCGCTGTCGGTTGTGCCTCGGGCGCGGAGAAGTAATATAAATAAATTATGAGAGGTTTATAGGTGGAGTATTTACAATTAGGCGTGGTGACAGCTCCTGGCCGCTACTGGCGACATGCCTGTACAGCCTTAGGATATAGTAATTAATAAACGCTACCTACTCCACGTCGGGCAACAGTAAAATGGTTTAATGCCACCTTAGTATATGGAGGTTAACAAAAAAAAATACTGATTCGGAATCGGATCGATGGATTGTTTAAAAATATCTCTAGGATGGTTAATTAGTTGATGTGCCGATCCCAGGAATATTAGAAACCTGGAAATGATTATCGGAATATTTCCAAAAATTCCAATGATTGCAGTATTGTTGACAATATTCCGGAAAATTGAGGGATATTTTCGTTAATTCGCAATGAGAATTTTACTGAGAATTTTTTATATTTAAAGTTGTAAGTAAAAAATTAATAAAGGATAAGTAACTTAAGTTCTTCGATCAACATTGCTTTAGCTATTATTAACCAGCATTAAAACTTTAAAATTTACAAAAGTAACTATTCTCAATATACCATAACTTTCATTCATCAGATTTAAATCACGATGAAATACAATCATCGTACTGCAATAATGTGAACGTAAAAATCTCAACATGCAAACGCGCCATAAAAACTTTTCACTTCAAAAATAAAGAGCATAATCCGTTCACCGCTGCTCATTTGGTGGATTCGAATAAAGGTGAGGGGCAGGAGAACATCCGGCCGGATATTTCACCCCAATATGGGGCACAATGGCTCGATAAAAAAGTCCCATTGTGTTTGATATAATATAATCCGGGGATCGGGACATGGAACCAGAGCGGGTGCGGGGGGGACCACGCCCCTTAACATTGTGATTGGCGCAGCTGGCGCGGTGTGCACCAACCCTAAATGTTATTGATACACTGAATTTCTCATAAACCTTTCGTCTAAGGAATATTCTCACAAAGCAGTATAGAAAAAAGTGAGGTAATTCATTCAATTAATTAATCTAGTCTTTAATTAGTTGGATTAGTAAACTTTAAATGGACCACCAATCTTTATTTTTTATATGGATATTTCACTCTGAAATTTCTGTCAGATGAAACAGTTTTTATAATCTTAAGAGATTTCAATTACAAATCAAATTACTGGAGTAAGTTGTAATATGTGTTTTCTGATAAATTAAATAATGGCGCGGCGAACGCTTATCGTAGCATCTACAGTCGTCAAATATGGCCGCTCTAGAGTAGCCATTATAAGTATCAACGGTTAAAAAAAACATTATTATTAACACGGCGTCGCTCGTCCACAAAATAAACAACCGCAATTGAAGAAATTATATCTTCCAAGTGTCAGTGCCTCGTTGTTTATTGTTAGCGTTTACGAAGCTTTCAAAGTTTTCACAAAAGCTCGATTCAAGATCCAAAGAAATTGTTGAACAACAACCGCTCGAGCTATAATTCTAATGGTTGTGCCTAACCTTTGAGAATTGCATCTTTCTAAATCGAAACTTCAGAAACGCCTTGGGCTAAATCGATATTCGTAACACTGTAATAACTATCTTCACGGCGTAGATCGTAATAAATATCTAAATGTCACTATTTCATAAAGTCTACACCTCTACAATGGTTGTCCGAGCAATTTGGAGATAATAGAACCGACGTGGGGCGACGGTGCATCGTCACGGGCATAATTACCCTAGGCATTATACCCCATTTGGGCACAGGCCGAAAGAACCAGAGTGATATCGAGTAATTGGTCGTCAGCGGGCGAAAGCTCGATCAAAGCGGGATGACGCCTCGAGCCGCCGCGCCGGCGCCACTGCCGCATTACAATGTTGATGGCCTTTTCCTTGTCAAAAATGACGAAGATCGTGTCGTAAAAAATACGAGACGAAACAAAACGGGATTACCTAATGTGCGCCCAAAATTGTAGTATCACAGGTCAGGTAGTCGAAGCAGAAATGGGTTAGGTAGATGCTACAAAGAAGTCACTCGGTTTATTTCTTTCTGACCTGACAAATAAGAGACAAAAATAAACCAAGGAGAAGTTTTTGGTTGAAAACAAAGATTACTAGAGGATTTATGTTATGCTAACATAAGAGATTGAATGAATAGTCAAAAGATAAATAAACTTGAAGTGGCAGGGGGCTGGACGTGCCTGTCATGAAACCAATAAATAAGTGTTGAGTTAGATCAGTGTTTAGATATATGCGATGTAGGTACAGTCAATATCACGTTGATGAATACAATTTGACATACAGATCACTAGGAGCGATATTCATAATGCAATATGTATTTCTGTCATTGCCACGACTATACGGAGGTGAACGTTCTATGTGATTGATTAAAATAAACATAGTTGAACGTATCCGAGTGATGTTAGCAAATCTGAAATAGGTACACTTAGTTTTTGTATCTTTGTTACTCATATAACAGTTCTCACAAACTCTATTGATCTCATCCGATAAATAAATACGATATATTTTGAAAGGAGACCGGATATGTCAATGTCTAAGTATATCAGATTACATAATTGCAGGCTCGGCGGAACTAGGCTACGGTTTGCAACTTGAATCAATATTACATGACATTATTAAACTATATTATTTCTTTAAATGTACCAGAGACAGACAGTATATTAGTAATCTTTTTGTAGGTCCTATATACAACACTTCCTTCTTACACGTATGCTAGGTCCAATCATTAACAATATAATACTTACATGAATAAACTATAAGAAACTAACAAAACTAATATAAGAGGCTAACTGATGGATCAAAGTACTGTCTTCCTTAAAGTATAGATTAAGTTAGTTAGTAGGGTTTTCCAATAAGGACCTGAATTATTTGATTAATTGTTTACAACTACATTCATTTTGCTTTTATTTAAGAAGCTACTCTGGCATTTAATTGGAATACGACATCGTTTAAATTATCAGTTGCTTTGTATGGTAGCCTGAATAAGAGAGGTCAAATTTTCATCACTTTTTGACATAATGACACCTCTATCTCATTGCTGACGACGCTTCTTATATTTAGCTATAGCTCGGGAGAATTATAGGTCTTCGACAATTCTTGGACTGTTCGCATACAACAGCGATTTTTTTTTATATTATAGGGGGCATACGAGCAGACGGCTCACCTGATGGTAAGTGATCACCGTCGCCCATGGACACTTGCAACACCAGGAGTATCACAAATGCGATGCCGGCCTTTAAGGAAGGAGTACGCTCTTTTTTTGAAGGTTCTTGGGTCGTATTGGTCCGGAAACACTGCTGGCGACAACATATTCCACAGTTTTGTCGTACGTGGTAAAAAATTTCGATAAAAAACGCACGGTTGTGGATAGCCACGCAACAAGATGATGGGGATGAAATTTTTGTCGCGATGTACGATGGCGAAATGCAGCAGCTGGAATTAATCCGAACAATTCCTCAGAATCCTACGCAAAGCCAAAGGATCAAGCTGATCGGAAAGGTCCTGGTCGTCGACGATTCGAGCCGCTCGGCGCTGGATGCGATCCCAAGGGAGAAGCTGGTACTGGGGTGCCCCCGCCCAAAGATGAGAGCAGTACTTCATGTGAGGCCAAACCTGTGCCTTATAAAGCTGCAGTCGGTGGGACGGTGTGAAGTACATTCTCGATCTATTGAGCACATCAAGCTTCTTAGAGGCCAATTTGGCCTTGCCCTCTAAATGATCCCGAAACTGGACGTCGCTCGATATGTCAACGCCAAGAATTCCAATACTAGCTGAGGCAGTTAGAGGAGTGTTCTCAAAAAGAGGAGATACGACAAATGGTATTTTTTTGCGGTGTACGCGCATACTTGTGTCTTCGTAGGGTTAAATTGGACTAGGTTAAGTCGGCCCCAATTCGTTACTCCGTTTAACAAAGTTTCGACTTTAGACACAAGTTTTACATAACCCAAAAAAATCTTATCTCTGAATCTTGAGATCGGAACTCATTGAATTTCCCTTTGAATGAATTGACTGTTTCTCTGGAAATATGGCTGGTGAGGGACATTTTAGCAGGGTTGCCCTGCTGAAACCAAATGTCCTTTAGATCAATTTCTTTCAATTGCGGACAAAAATATCTGAATTATGATCCAGTGATGATCACCAATTCACAATTAAGGTAGCCCAGACCTCGTTTTGTCGAAAAATACTGACCACTTAAGGTACTAAAATACCCATCAGATATCATCACTCTTTCTCTTACTGAAATTAAACGTAACGACAGGAACGGAACTCTTCACTGCGCGTGGCACGACACACACTTGGACGGTTTTTTAATGAATTCAATGCGTTGCTCAACTGTATAGCAACTGGTATAAATGCCGAACTTTTAATTATGTATCTATCAAAAATTTCAACCAAAAGACGATCTAATATGTCCACCATAGGCTGTCAAAGATACCCTGTTTCTTTTGGAAAAACCTGTATATAAAATGGGGTAATGAGTTAATAACCTACAATACAAAACCAGTGTGGAAGTGAGGTGTTACTGATTGGTCAGTGTGATGTACGCCCTCCAAAATACAGGAAGATCCAGGATACGAAAATTTTGGGCACCCATCAAATTACCTGCCTTTGTAAAATTTATATTAAAATCAAACATCGAACTTGTTTACTGCTGGGCCATCCTATTTTTTACCTAGTCTATTTGATAAAAAAAGATACAGATTTTATGACAAATCATGATAGATGATAGCATTCTAGCTTTGTTTTGTTTGTAAACATTTTCCATTCCTATTAATTGAATTTAAAAAATCTAGTGTTCAATTTACGTGTAGATTTTTATTGGCA